GTAAGAATAGATGAAATAATAAAGCTAATAGCCTAGCAAAAAAAAGAGCAACAAATAGAAGAATAATATAGATTAAAGAAGTCAGTTGCAAAGAGATAGAGTACTGCCTAAAGTGAAAAAACAAACATACTAACATACTAGCAAAACTGTTTTGCAAGCTAATAATAAATGCAAAGTTAGGAGCAAAATGAAAAGAAATAAAAGTAATTAAAAGAACTAAAACCAAAATCAGAAGTTATAATTTATAATTGAACATACTTTTGGAAAAGACTAAAGATAACTAAAGAAGTACACTGCATAACAAAAAGAAGTAGTATTAGAAAAAATGCATTTATAAAGTATATAATGGATAAACTTCCAACATTAGAAGAACTTAACAGAAAAAGACCAGATATATACACAACAATAAAATGCCAAATGTGTTAAGATAAATCAAAAAAAATGCAAACATACTTGGCAGCATGTAAGAGACAAAAGAATCTCTGAAAAAAAATCTAGAAAGTGACTATTATAACAGCCTAAAAAAGGCTAAAAAAAAAAAAAATTTAGGTTCCTTTATATGTATTATACATAGTGCTCTTTGAGAAAACAGAAGCAAAGAAAATAAGAATAAGAGAGGTACTAATTAAAGGTTTTATTTCAAAAGAAACATAGAACAAACTAAGACAGCTTCTAAGTACAAAGTCAAGATAGCAGTTTATAAACATAGTAGTAAGAACAGCCTAGGATACATTCTATAAACAAATATGAAGAATCCAATATGAGAAGATCAATAAGTAAAAGAAAAATGAAGAAATAATGAATAGAATAAAAAGAAAAAAACAAGAAAAAAAAGCACTAAGTAAAAAAGAAAAACCAAATTAGCAAAAAATAGAAGAAAAAAAAAAGAAAAGAAAAACAAATTGAAAAAGAAGCACAAAAAATAATTTTAAAGCTTGTTATGAAAAAGAGAAAACTCTTTTATTATGAACTTTAAGTAGTCAGACAAGTAGCTTACTTCTATTTAAAGTAATATAACAGATTGCACTTAGATACTATTAGAGTGGCCAGATGATGCTAAACTTAGATGTTAAGAATATTTATATAATTACAAATATAATTTCAAAATCTTAATAAAGTACTAGCATGACTGTTTAAGAAAAAAAAAAGAAATTTTGGTTAAACTTTTGACTCAGTATTATTAATAGCATTAAATTTGGCATTTAAAAGACTTAAAATACTAAAAATAGTGATTATTTTTATTTTAAATTTGTTTGAAAATTGATAGTCAAAAATTATTATAAATTTAAAACAACTACAGTCTTTGAAATTAAAGATAAATTAAACAAGATAAAGTAATTTTACTCTTAGTATAAAAAATATTCTATAACTTATTATTAAATAGAATTCAAAGTGATCCAAATCTAAGTTATATATTGTGCACTTTATATAATAATAGTATAGAGTTTACAATGCAAAAAAAAAATAAAGACAAGCTATAATAACATATGCAAATAATATCACATAGGTTGCATCAAGCAAAATATAAATAAAAGAGATTATTAAAATAGCAGAAGATTTTTTTAACTTAAATAATATACAAATTAATAAAAAAAAAAAAACTTATAATGATAAACATCAAAAAAAGAAAAGAAAAATAAAATAATTTTTTTTAATAAAAAGTAAATTCAAAAGGAAAATAAAAATAAGATTATATAATTTTTAAAAATTTGGCTAAACTGCAAACTTAAAAAATTAATAATAAAGTTAAAAGCCAAAAAAATAATATGAACATTTATACAAGTCTAAATTCAAAAAGGCTAACAATAACCTCTAGGGTCGATAGCATAGTGGTTATATTTTGAGATTACAAATTGCAAGGTTGCCAGTTCAAATCCTAGTGATGGCAATTGTAGAGATGTGTTTCTAAATAGGGAACTGCAACACCATAGCACCAGGAATTCAGGACATTATCAGATGGACTTATTTCTAGAAAAGGCAAGTGACCTGTGATTGAGAAGCCACTCAGTGATGAACACAAGTTAGAATCTGATTTGGAATAACCAAAGTTATGAGATGTAATGTGAGGCTGAAAATCTGACAATAAGAGATACTACATGAACTTATGGCGATAACTGGTTCTTGATAGAGCTTGGTAAAGACTTCTGATACTGGCAGAGATTGGTACGATGGTTGCTTTTAGAAAGTTTAAAAGTACAGACTGGAAAAGGTCGAGGTTCAGATTCAGGAGTATATTGAGAACATTAGTTCAAAAAATGTGAGGACTACTGAAAGATCTTGGCAAGACTAGTCAAAGATTAAAAAAAAAAAAAAAAACTTTAACAATTAGCCAAATATTAAATATTAACAATATATGCATTATATTCAAGCTAATTTATATATTACAAACAACAAGATTATCAAAAAACAGAATAGTTAAGATATATATATTAATACCATATTCTGTTTAGCAAAGTACTCCAAATCTTTTACAAATTTGGGCATTTCAAAATACTAATCTAGGTACTTTATACAGGTGGGTATTATATATAGAAGAGGATATATGAATTGTAAAATACTTGGATTTTGCCTATATAAAGTATCTAGATATTTTACAATTTAATAAACTTTAAAGCAAATATCATATTTGTTTCTATGCAGATTTGTATTACTACATGAAAACTAGTACAATATTATAAGTATAAAGATATAAAATTGCATTTAACTTACATGTAACTTACATAACTAATAATAATAAAATAGCCCATATTACAAGTAAACAATTTAAAAAAACCAAAAAAGTTATAGCTTCTGAAGTTTGTTATATGTAAACTGTCAAAGAAAAACTTATGATTCTAGATTATTTAGAAAATAATAATGGTAATATATGTGAAACTGCCAAGTGGTTTACTTTAGAGCCAAAGCAAATATATAACTGGAAAAGTAAAAAGACAAACTATTACAAGCAGCTTCATATATTAAAAAATTGCATTTAGGAAAACAAGCCAAATATTCAGACTTAGAAAACAAATTGTTTAATTGGATTAATAAAACTAGGGCTAGTAAAAATTCAGTTATATATTATTTAATTACTAAAAAGGCTATAGACTTGTCTCAATATAAGTTTTACTTACAATATCCTAATATTATTCATTTTAAATTTTCAAACAGATGGCTTGATGCTTTTTTTATATGATATAATTTTTCAAATAGATGTAGAATAACAATAGCTTAACATCTTGCATCAGATTTAATTGATAAACAAACTTTTTTTTTGAATTATATATTGTATTACAGAATCTAATATAACTATTCTTTGAAGTATATTTGTAATATAGATGAAACATCACTTTGGTTTAATCTACCAAATAACAATACTATTAATATAAAAGGAAAAAAGTCTATTAGTATTTGTACTACTAGTTATGAAAGATTTTCTTTTACAAAGAGTGTGGTGACCTAGTGAAGTGAATAGATTGTCAACCTCCAAGTGGCAGATCTAGAGTTTAAATTTCAGTAACAGTGAAAATTTGTAATTCTTTCTGTGTTATGGCTAACTGTCTTTCATAATTGGTTGGGATAGAATACTTGTAACTCGTATCATACCAGCATGACTGGAAGGTCTAGGAACTTGTACAACATTGTATGAGAGAATACAAACTGGTACTAGGTGGTGTGAATCCAAGATAAGTTCTTAGGCCATATAAATCACAGGAACCAGGTAGGAAGACAGAAGCCCACTTGGAAGACCTAAGTAAAGAGATAACTTGAACCTTCAACAGTGCTACTGTAAAGATTAGACTTATGAAATGGAGCTAGAACTTGTGAAACTGGGCAAATATGCTGGTCTTTGAGAAGGGACTAGATGAACCAACCAGGCTGTCAGAATTTTTAGGTTTTGAAGAAAAAGTGCACATGCTGGCAAACATGTAAACCAGAGATATATAGTTTTGATCTACCTTTCTGGACTATCTGGAATAGCACTTGGTGGAACTTGAATTGAATACCAAAGTAGTAAGAATATGTTGTAAAGTCAGTACTAGGGTTGAAGTAAACTCTACAAAAGCATAGTGGTTTAATGGTATACCCTGACTGCCAGTGTTGGTCTTGGCCATGGCAATACTAGGTCAGCTGTAAGAATAGGATATAGAAGATTCTGAAAGATTTAGTACAAGGTCAAAGGTTTACTATGTGAGTAAACTGCTTTAAAGACTTAGTGACCATGGCATATTTTTACTGATATCAGCCAGGGTTATTAGTAGACAAAGGTAGATGGGTGGATATGGAAACAGAGTAGTTAAATAAGGAACCTACAAGTATGTTCCAGGTATAGCAGCTAGTGTAGAACCTTCAGGCAGACTACTTAAATTAGACAATAACTAAAGTTATACGAGTGGCTAGTTGTACACTCTTCTTATGGTTGCCCTCTGTGGTTGTAAAGCATCCATTAGCCAAATATATTACTAATAAAATCCTGGGTCGCAAGTACTCATCTTAATATTTAAAAAAAAAAAAAAGATTTTCTTTTACTGTTATACTCATATGTATAGCTAACAGAACTAAACTTTTAGCAGTTTGTATTTTCAAATTAAAAAATATTTATTGTGAGAATTTTCTATATGATATTTATATTAGAGTTAATAAAAATAGTTAAGTAAATGAAAAAGAAATATTATAATAGATAGAAACAGTTTAAAATCAAAAAAATCATCTAGGCAATCTATGATCTATATTAATTATGGATGCATTTCATGCATATCTTATAGATTTAATAAAAAACCAATTAGTAGAAAAAAATACAACCTTGTAGTTATTCCATCTAGTTGTACTTTCAAATTGCAACCTTTAGACGTTGCAATTAATAAAAGCTTCAAATCTAAGGTATTATAACTTTTATTTATTATAACAAATTGAACAATATTTTGTACAAAAGATTGTTTAGTTTATTACATATCTTATATTTTATTACTTTTATTATATAAAATAACAAATATTAGATTTGAGAATATTATAATAGTTGGATGTCATCTGCAATTTATACTTTTACACCAAAAGGTCATATTAGAAAACCTTCATACTCTACTGTAGCAACTTGGATTAGAGATTCATAGAATGATGTTAATACTGACTTTATTGGAAGATTATTTAAGCATTGTAGAATTTCAATATAAACAGATAGTTTTGAGGATTATATGCTTTTTGACTATAATAGTTTACTAGAACAAGATGAAGTAAATAATAATTTGGGTGATAGTGAATATAGTGATAGTAAATATAACAATAATGAATATAGTGATCATTATATTGAAGATAATAAATATAGAAATAAGTAGAATATTGCTAATAAAAACCAAAATAATATTATTAACAATTATAATAAGAATAATGAAAATTATGAATATAATGAGTATTATAGCAATAGTGATGAAAATAATGTAAATAATGTTCTTTATAAACCAACAATTTAAAGTTTGAAATTTTTTTTCATTTAAATCTTTTTTTTTTTGATATTTTTTTTTTTTTTTTTTTTTTTGATATTAAACTAGCCTCTTTTGGGCCTAGGGTTTTATTCAGTAAATTGAACATAGGGACTCATAGCTGAAACCTCAAAGAAGTCATCTTACATTAGAAAGTACAACTAGCCACACATATACTTTTAGTGTCTAATTTAAGTAGTCTGCCAATAGTTCTATACTAGCTGCCATATCTGCAATCCAACTAGAGGCATTGCCTATTTAAACCCTCTGTGCTGCAATCCTTACTGTGTCACTAGATCATCTCCAATACAGCTGTCAGTCAAGAAGGTTTAGATATTTTTACCCATTTCCCTTAGGACTCCATACCTTATTTCATGCAGTGTATTCTTAGAAGCATTGTTACTAGAGCCTTCTGTGTCCCACATACAGCTAACCTAGTTTTATGTAACATGCTATAGTTATCCAACACTTGCAGTTATAGGGGTTACCTGTTTAACTACTACATTACACTATTTCTACCCTTGTAAAGTTCACCCAAACCTTAGTACCTATTATTCTAACTTCTTCTCTTCATTTCTCTACTATCCAACTCAGAATTCGACAGACTTCCCAGACTCCCAATCCAGATAGCCCAGTATGATATATCTTAGTATCCTTTTCCTCTGGTGATTCCAGCAGTCTGGTTGGTCATGTGCTCCTCTATACATCTTTCTATCCGGTTGCATGTCTGCCTATTCCTTATTGGGTTTTTCTGAACTTCTATTAGTCCAATAGCACTGTCGAAGGCTTGTGCTACTCTTTACTTAGGAATTTTCAAGTAGGCTTCTGTTTTCTTAGTTTCTTGGTCTTCTACATCTGGTGGCCTTATCATGGGTTTGCACCGAAGTCTTATACAACACTGGTTATTAACATTCCTCTATATATGTGTAATGTTACACTTCATATAGATGCCTTGGGCTCCTAATGATGAGTAGAACCTGATTGGTTGTACCCAAGATTACAGATACCTAAATCCAACCAATCGACAAGAGACAGTTTACCATAACACAAATATAATTACCAAATTTCATCATAGGTGAGATTTGAACCTTAGACCTGCCACTTGGAGGATGACAACCCAACCATTACACTAGAATTGCCATCCTCTTTGAGATTTTTTTTTTATATTTTTTTTTCAATATTTGTTATATGAATCAGTAATGTTGATTTATAGATCAACAATTTAATGTTTGAAATTTTATTGTAATTTTTTTTTTTAACATTTGCTATATGAATATAGATATTAGTAATTTTAGGTATTATTATTCTTAAAGTATAAAGTTTAAAGAATAACATAGAACAGCTATTCATTTTCTTAGATCAAAAATTTAAAGAACATTCATTAATCTGTTACACTTATAGAATTAAAAGACAAACATCAAAAAGACTAGAATATTTAAAGTAAAATTAAAGTCAAAAAACTAAACATAAGACATTTTTAGTTACTGAAATAGGAAATAACATTGAATTACTATAGGTTAAATATAAGTCATCTATTATTAATATTTGCTAAAGTTAAAACATAAACTAGCAAGATAAATATAAGACATTCATTATCAAAATCTACTAAAATGAGAATTCTGATAAAACTGAATAAAGTAGACATTAAGTAGCAAATACTAGTTAAATTAGATAGGTTTAATTGCATTTATAAACTTTTTTATTTAAATAATCTCTTATCTAAGACTTTATTTTCAAATATTTCTTATTTATCTTAATATTAAACTTTCAGATTATTTATATATATATATTAGTTTAAATAAATTAATATTAGAATGTAATCTTTAAAAAAATATTAATTGTTAATTAGCTATTCTTTTAATCAACCATAGTCACAACAGATAAAAATAACATTCTTAATTCAGATAATTTTAAATTTGAATGAATATACTATATGTATTTAGAGCATTTTACAAATTATTAAAATGTTTATATATGGGAGTATAATATATAGATGGTACCTCAGGTATTTTACAAATTTGTAAACTTGAAATTAAAATGTTCATAGCAAAATACCTAGATACTTTATATTTATTTATAGAGAATACAATACATGAGAGAGTACTTTGGCAAATGGAATATGATACTATTATTATTATTATTTTTTTTTTTTTTGAATTTCCCACTGCTTGGTTACTAGTGGGCCGCAGCTGGCGGCTGTTTTATTAGTTCATATTTCAAGTTCACAGGACCTTCTATTAGGACTCCATCTATATTTTTACATTGTTTGTGTACATTTACAGTACTATTTATATACTAATTTTTGTATTCCTATTATCCTGGAATTTTACCAGGATTATTCCTAATCAGAGATTCTTTTGTTCTATTATTATTCTCAGCCTTCTAATCATCGCGGCCTTCTTATGTCAGGTCTGTCGCCATTTAAAGATCTGGATACTGAAGATCTTCCTATTTTCGTAATATGCCATCTGGTATGGTTAATCCATAATTGTAGTTCTAACACAGTTTATGTCCCCCATTAGACTTGAACTGGCAACCTTGCGATTAGTAACCTGGAAGTATAATCACTTCGCTATCGACCCACAGGTCCTTGATACTATTATTCAAATTGTATTCTAGATATTATCTTAAAGAATATCTCTTTATATAAATATTAAAATATTATAAAAGAAAACTAAATTTTTCTTCTAAGCAAAACAAAATTTCTTTATAAAATAATAAGTTCTAAAATGGTTATAATACTATAGTTACAATTAAATAGTTTTCTATATCTAAATTCTATTTTAAAAACTTCTTGTTATATTTATATATTAGTTTTAATTATAGCATAATCAGATTAACTGTAAGAATAGAATACAAAAGATTTTAAAAAGTTTAATACAAAATCAAAGATTCTTCATATAAGTAAACTGCTTTAAAAACTTAATGATTATGGTATATTTTCACTAGTATCAACTAGAGTTATTAATAAGTGTAAATAGGTAGATAAATACAGAAACTAAAATGCTTAAATAGAAAATTTACAAGCAGGTTTTAGATATAATAACTAGTATAAAACCTTTAAGCAGACTACTTAAATTATACAATCACTAAAGTTGTATAAGTAACAAGTTATATATTCTTTTTATAATTACTTACTATAATTATAATACAACTATTAACTGAATGTACTATCAATAAAATCTTAAATTGCAAGTACTCATTTTAATATTTAAAAAAAAAACAATTATAAAGTTAAAATATACTATTAATGAAATTCTAAACTGCAAGTACTTATCTTAATATTAAAAAAATAATAATAATTAGTTAAATTAATATATTTGTAATATTAAATATTAAATTATATTCATATCAAAAAAAACTCTTTCTGCTGATCTCTTATTCCAAAAACAGACAAGTCAAAAATAGTAGCAGCAAGCAAAAACTAACTTAGAAAACCTATTCTAATAACTTAAAGTAAAAGAAAGTAGACCAAAAACAACATTAAGTTTAATAAAAGCTCTTTTTTCTTTAAGTCAAGTACAAAATACAAAAAAACAGTTTGTCTTTTTTCTTCGAAACTTTCCTAGAAATTTGAAAAATTGGCAAAGTCTCAGTTTGGCAGATTAAATTAGGTTGTACAAAAATGTATAAACAACAAAGTAAACAAACAATAGATCATGTTCCCTTTTTGGTTAAGTAAATAAATTACAAAAAAACAACAATCATGCAATTAAACAACAACAGAAAAGCACATAGTTCCTTTTAGAAAAATCTAGAACAACACTACTAGTAGATATTAGTTGATTATCATTTAAGTGCAAATTAGAAGATAAGTGAGTTATACAAGCAGGAGCTACTTAAGTTTATTTAGAGAACAGGCAAAAAAAATCTTAGCTACTTAGATAGCAATATGTTAACTAAAGCACTAAAAAACACAACATCACATAGTCCAAACAATATAGAACAAATAGCATACAGTATAGCAATTGGCAATCCAAATGAAATTACAAAACAGGATTTGTTGATTTATGATCAAGTTCTCAAAGTGTTAAGGCAAATTGAAACTAGAAATCTTGAAAAAACATTAATTGAGAAATGAGCAATGAAAGCAAGAATAATGCAACACAATCCAAGAACAATTAACTATATAGCTAATATGAGTAATGCAACAATACTAAAGGAAAAAAACAGAATGAAAGTAGAAAAAGAAGATGTAAATATTAGCCCCCAACCAATTGGTCCAAAAAAGCAAAAACAAGAAGAACCAACAGTCAAAACAACAAAAGAAAACAGTCAGAACAATAGCAATAATATGGAAGATCTTACTATGGTTATAGAAGCTAGCACATTAAGTCAAAACTATCGAACAACAAACTTAGAAAACTTAGCAGTTAAGATTAGTGAAGTTGAAAACAAAAGTGAAAATAGTAGAATGGTTTCAAAAGCAAAATGCATTGAGTCAAGTCAAGATAATTCTGACTATGCTAAAAGAAAAGAAAATGCTAAAGACCAAGAAACAAACTCAAAAGAACAAATTAACTTAGCACCACTAGAAGATAGTCTTTAGTTACCTCAAAATAGATCATGTAATAAAGAAAACTCATTTAAAGCAAAAATTCTAACATATAAGATTTTAGATGAAACAAAAGAATACAGAATCAATTTCATGAAGTAGGTGCTTAAAAATGACAAACACATCAAAGGGATAGAAGAAAGTTTTCAAAATGGAAATAATTAGAGTATAGTAGAATTTGATTGCAAATATAGCAGAAGAACATCAAGCGAGAAAATACTAAAAAAAGAAGGAGACTGGTGTAAACTCATTCTTATAGAAGTAGAGAAACAAAAGAGTAATTCTAGCTATAATATAATTA